TTTATTAGATTATTTATTTATTCTTTTATTTTTATTTATTTATCTATTTATTTATTTACATATGAATGTATTCTTTCATTTATTTGTTCATTCATTTATTTATTTATCTATTTATTTTTGGGCCTTATTTGCTCCCCGAGAAGGGCCAGACTCACAGAAGAACATGTTAACATGTTAGCGTTTCTGGCAAAAAAATTACAACTTGCCAAAAACCATAAAGTGTAATGTGGTTGCCATGTGCTACATAGTAGTAAGTGCTACTGCAATGTCTTAAACTTACAGTAGGCAGTTACTGGAGCATATTATGTTTACAGTTTTTTATATATTGTGCTAACTTTATCCTCATAAGAATATCTGTATACTGTATCTTTGCACAAGCTAATAGAGGTTGATGATATTTCATTTATTTTACAATGTTAATGGCCTTTTTTCTGTTTATTAGGTTTATTTTTCCATTGTATTGTTTGGCCTTTAATTTTTTTGGTCGTGTTCTGACTTTATAAAAAAAAAAGTTCCTGTGCTTGTTTTTTCTTCCCCTATACTGGCCTATAGTATCGAAAATAGTATCGCGTATGGAGCTTCATCCTTAGTATCGGTATTGAGTTTGAAATTTCAGTATCGTGACTAGCCTAACACACACACACACACACACACACACGCACATATATATATATATATATATATATATATATATATATATATATATATATATGTATAATCTCAAATGAGATCCCACCGTCAACCTTTTAATTTGATCACATTTTTTACACAGACAACTACAGTGATCTCTGCAAGAAGAGACAGGAATTCATAAAGGGTGAAGACATCTGGCACGAAGCACCCAAGAGGAAGAGTAAGCCGAACAGCAAGTGGAAAGATGTGGAAGAGAAGGATTATGAAGTTCCACCAAAAAAGGTAGTTGCCAGGATAAATAACACCGTATGACACCAGTCGATTGCAATTCAGAACAGAAGTGACATTTCTTTATCATTCCTAGTGTGCATAAAACCTGTATAGAAATGCTCTTGTTTAAAACAGTAGTGCCTATCCTGTTTTTACCCACTGTTAGATAAATCTGTGAATCTTAGTTATTCCTTTTTTTGTAAATCCTTCATTAAAGAATAATGTCTTGTTATCAATTACATACATTTTTTAAAATGCTAAGACCCTCTGAGTCTCTTTAGGCCTGATTAGTATCAGCAGATAATTAAATACATTTAATAATTGGCCAAGTCCATAGTTAAATGATTTTTGTTTTGATTTTTTGCACACTTCTGAATCTAGGTATGATCCATCAATGATGCAGTTGATTCTGTAACTATTACTAAATCATCATTAACATGGATGTTATTACATATGGCTGTTATAAAAATACAAAACTGAATTATAATTTTGACAGAAGACAAAAAGAGCAACCTGTACAGAAAAAGAGTCAGCAAACCAAATGATAGAAGAGCTGAAGAAGCAGCTGGCAAACAAAGCTTCTTCAGAGGTAAAATATTTGAATATTTTTAATTGTGGTACTTTGAGTTGATGCAATAATTGAGGTGTGAATTTTGCTGCCACAGAGAAGGCTGATTCTTTGATTTCATGTGTTTTGGTGTAGTTAACTAACTCAAATGAGGAGTCATCAGATGAGGAGCAGCTGCCCAGAAACTGGAGTGTGGCATAGCAGAAACTGAAAGAGCTTCAGAGGGAAATCAAGACCCTGAAAAAAGACCATGTAAAAGTAATACTAGATGCCATGAGAGGTATGCAAGTCAGGCACAATAAACTGCACGAGATCCAGAAATCCAGAACATTAATTCGTTTTATTTTCTTTGTCAATGTGACAAGGTGGTAGGCTGACAATAATCAATTATCTGAATATGCCATCCCTCAAAACCTTCCTTCATCTGAATAGAAACAGATAAATATAATTATTTAAAAATCTTCCCAAATACAAAAGAAATGACCACCTACTTCCTGTTCATCCTTAATCAGCTCCACCTCCACCCATGCTCTTCACAACACAAATGACTAATGTAATGTTTTAAAATGGTCTCAAAGCACAGTAATGATACAAAGCTTTTATCCCCTTATTTTCATTCCCTTTACAGAGCTTCCAGCAGTAGTGACACAGCTGAAAGATATCATTGAAAAAATCACAGTTCTGATCTCAACTCCTGCATCCACCGGGTCAACACCTACACCATCTGTAGACCCACCAGTTTCTGCACCCACCTCTCTTCATGTGTTGTCTGACCCTGATGATATGGTAAATACCTCAAAATGCATGGATACTGTATGTTATTTATCCATGTGGGGAAAGGTTTGTGATA